TGCTCCAACCAACTGAGACACCTGGTCAGGGCTGTTCAGTGTGTTTTAAAATAATGAACCAGGAAATACTTGTTCTCTACTCAAAATAGAATTGATTTAAATGTATTATTATTAATATTTTATTTATTTAAGTAATATAAAATCTTTGCATTGAAAGACCTTTGTACCTATGCAACAACATATAAAACAGACAAATTAGGGCCTTCTTTCTCCAGTCTTACTCATTTTCTAATAAGATGACTCAGTGACAAAATAAAATCTCTCTAACCTGACCTTTCTCATTTTATGCAAGTGATTCTAATAATATTGGCCTAAATGTGTCAGAGACAAGCGAGAAAATGGGAAAGTCATATCATATATCAAGCACTGTCTATTGAATCCTTTAGAAATATATTGACAAGAACTCTGCCTAACAATGGCTTTGGGAAAAGACGTTTATTTTAACCTCATATCAAGAAGTCTAAAAGTGAGGGGCTGCTGGTATTGATTTAGTAGTGCAATGGTATCAGAGCCCATGCTTCTCTTAGTCTTTTCTTGTCTTTTCCTTTTTTTAATCTTTATTGTTGAAAGTATTACAGATGTCCTCCCTTTTTTCTCTCTTTAACACTCTCTTCCCTGCTCCCACCCCACTCCTGTTTTCCCCAAACTATTGTTTGTATACATTGGTTATGTATATAAGCATATAAGTTCTTTGGTTTATCTCTTCCCAACCCTCTCACCTCGCTTTCCTCTGAAATTTTTCAATCTTATCCCTACTTCCATGTCTCTGGATCTGTTTTGATCATCAGCTTATTTTGTTCATGATATTCAATAAGTAACTGAGATCATGTGGTACTTGTCTTTCTCTGGCTGACTTATTTTGCTCAGCATAATATTCTCCAGGTCCATCCATGTTGTCTCAAAGGGTAAAAGATCTCTCTTTTTCTACAGCTGCATAGTATTCCATTGTGTAAATGTACCACAGCTTTTTTATCCATTCATCTGCTGAAGGACACTTGAATTGGTTCCAGATCTTAGCTATTGTAAATAGCACTGCTATGATCATAGGGGTGCATATATTCTTTCTGATTAGTGTTTCAGGCTTAGGATATATTCCTAGAAGTGAAATCATTGGGTCAAATGCAGTTCCATTTTTAATTTTCTGAGGAGATACCATATTGTTTTCCATAGTGGCTGCACCAGTCTATATTACCATCAGCAGTGTAGTAAAGTACCCTTTTCTCTACTACCTTGTCAGTACTTGTTGTTTGAAGATTTGTTGATGACAGTCATTGGCAGGTGTGAGGTGTAATATGCATGTCTTTGCTGATTAGTAACAATGAGCATTTTTTCTGTCTGTGTGTCCTATTTGGAGAAGTGTCTATTCAAGTCCTCTGTCATTTAATTGGATTGTTTGTCTTCCTTTTGTTGAGTTGTATGAGTACTCTATATATTTTGGAAATTAACCCCTTATCCAATATATCATTGGCAAATATGTTCTCTCAGAGACTAGGTTTTCTTTCCATTTTGATGCTGGGTTTTTTTGTCATGCAGAAGCTTGCTAGTTTGATGTAGTCTCATTTATTAATGTTTTCCTTTGTTTCTCTTGCCCTAGGTGAAGTATCAGTGAGAATTCTGCTACATGTGATGTCTGAAATTTTGCCGCTTACATTTTCTTCTAGGATTTTTATGGTTTCATAAGTGACATTTTAAGTCTTTTATCAATTTTGAGTTTATTTTTCTGTATGGTATAAGTTGGTGGTCTAGTTTCATTTTTTTGCATGTAGCTGTCCAATTTTTCTAACACCATTTATTGAAGAGACTGTCTTTTCTGCATTGTATGCTCTTGCCTCCTTTGTCAAATATTAATTGTGCATGGTGCCTTCAGTTGATTTCTGGGTTCTTTGTTCTGTTCCATTGATTTATATGCCTGTTCTTGTGCTGTTTTGATTATGATGACTTTGTAGTATAACTTGATATCCAGTATTGTGATCCCTCCAACTTTGTTCTTCTTTTTCAAGATTTCTGTGGCTATTTGGGGTCTCATATAAATTTTTGTAATATTTGATCTAGATCTGTAAAATATGTCATTGGTACTTTAGTAGGGATTGCATTGAATGTATAGATTGCTGTGGGTAATATGGACATTTTAATGATGTTTATTCTTCCAATCCATGAACATGGTATATGTTTCCACTTTTTTATATCTTCCTCTATTTTTTTTCAATGTCCTGTAGTTTTCTGAGTACAGATCTTTTATCTCCTTGATTAAGTTTATTCCTAGGTATCCTAATTTATTTGTTGCAGTGGTAAATGAGTTTGGTTTTTCTTTGGTTTCCTTTTCTGAGTGTTAATTATTGGTGTACAAGAAAGCCATTGATTTCTGGGTTTTAATTTTGTATCCTGCTACTTTGCCAAATTCATTTATTAAATCTAGCATATTTTTTATGGAGTCTTTAGTATTTTCTTTGTACAATATCATGTCATGTGAAAATAATGACAGTTTCACTTTCTTCTTTTCAATTTGGATGCCTTTATTTTTTCTTGTTGTCTAATCACTGTGATTTACAGTACTATGTTGAATAATTATGGTGAAAGTGGTCATCACTGTCTTGTTCCTATTCTTAAGGAGAATACTTTTAGTTTTTCTCCATAGCCTATGAGGTTGGCTGTAGGTTTGTCATATATTGTCTTTATTATGTTGAGATATGATCCCTCTATTCCACTTTGATGAGCATTTTTATCAGAAATGGGTGTTGGATTTTGTCAAAGTCGTTTTCAGCATTTTTGTTTAATATATTGCTGGATTCTATTTGCTAATATTTTGCTGAGGATTTTGGCATCTATGTTCATCAGAGATATTGGCCTATAGTTTTCTTTCTTTGTAATATCTATCTGGCTTTGGAATTAGAATTATGCTGGCCTCATAAAAAGAGCTTGAAAGTCTTCTTTTATCTTGAATTTTTTGGAATAATTTGAGGAAAGAATAGATGTTAGTTCTTCTTTGAATGTTTGGCAAAACTCCCCTGTGAAGCTGCCTGGACCCAGGCTTTTGTTTGCAGGGAGTTATAATTTGCTGCAAATTATTAATTGCATCTTCAATTTCCTTAGTTGTTATTGGTCTGTTCAAGTTTTCTGACTCATCTCATTGCAGTTTTGGTAGTAGTATTATGTCTAATAGTATATGTCTGTTAGTATCCAGGTGAATACACATAAACATATTACATACATATATGCATATATAATATTAGAATAAAATTTAGACATTTTATTTATTTATTTACCTATTTTTTTTATTTTAAACAGAGAGGAAAGAAGAGGTAGAGAGAGATAGAAACATCAGTGAAGAGAACATTGATTGGCCACCTCCTGAATGCCCCTCACTGGGGATTTGGCCAACAACCTGGGCCAAATCGAACCAGCAACCTCTTGGTTGCATGGGTTGACGTTCAACCACTGAGCCACATCAGCCAGGCTAAAATTTAGACATTTTAAACATTAATTTAAAAAGTTCATTTTATATCTTAGTGGTGAATGTGCCTGTAAACACATTTATTAAATGTACTTGGAAGGGCTTGTTTTAAAAAGACAATCAATTATACTAAATAAAAGCCCGTCAATGTGCCAGGCTATATACAGATGTTTCTATAGCTGGTGAAGGTTTCTCATTTATCTTTCAAGATGATTATGCAAATTGTATTTAGCTCACACTTTCCTGAGTTGAAAAGTGGCTTTTCTCTTTTTCCTCATTTATTAACCTCATCTAACAGGAATTAACCAGTATTCAGAGTGGGCAGCAGCACAAAGCTAAATCATGGCCACTCCTCTACATGAAAAAAGAACCTGTTTTCCTCCTTAGGGTCTTTCTTTTCTTTAACAAAGGCATACAAACCACTCAGCGCATCCCCGGAGCCTCTCAGAACCTCCCCCTTGAGAAATCTCAGTGAAGACAAGGAAAAACAACTCTAAAAAAATAATAAAAGGCCCATCCCTTCCTGCCCCTCTCTCCCAGGCCTTGCCCTCCATCCTTTTTACTACTTTCAATATGTCTCTTCTCAGTTCCCAACATTTTTTCTCCTATTTTCCCAAGTTGAGCTGCCTTTTGTGTCACTCCATCTGCAAAATAGATGGGGAAAAGATCACACAGAAATCACGCCCTGACACAGTGCTTGTGTGCCTAAGGACCAGGACCTGGATGGACAGGGCTGGGACCAGGAATGGGTTTATTTCAGGCTGGGGCAACACCGAGAGACAAGAAATCGCAAAGGCTCCAGACAGCCTCTTGGGACATTCCCTGTTTTTCCTCTGCCTGCGAAAGACCTCTCTCAAATCCAAACCCTTGCGTCTTCAGGAATGCGGACCAGGGGGTTTGGCAAGTATGTTTTTAAGTAAACAATCTCCGGATGTTCATGACTGACTTTGTATAGCGACCCATAAAAATGACTGTGTATCCACCGTTGCGACGGAAATGCAAATTCTCTTAGCCTCACGCTGACTCTGTGGTCACATGCGAGTGACTCTGGCTAAAAGTCACACACAAGCCCACATCGGCCCGCAGGGCACAGCGCAGTGCCCTGAGCGTACCTGTGCACACCCGTCGGCACACATTAAACCCGTCCGCTGCAGGTCACACTCCTGTGTCCTTCCCTTCCTCCCCGTCTCACCTTGTTCTCTTTCCTTCCCCCCAACCCCCAGTCCACGCCCCGCACAATGGGATTTTTGTTTGCCTCCGCAGCATGTGACAGCGCAGTCCTGCTTTGCCTAGCTCTGTGCTGCAGGTCTCTCAGGTAACAGGTGGCAACTTCCCCTGTTGGATTCTAGGTATAAAGAAGAATGATCTCATAGGGGTGGGGCTCCGGGACTCCATACAGGTGGCAGTAGCAGCCAGGTAACCCTGGAGTGAAGCCGGTGACTTAGAAGGGGCAGTTAAACGCGTCACTCTGGTGGCTTTAGCCTTCGCCCTGAGGCACTTGAGCAGCCAGCCCGTGCCTGCAAGCCTCCAAAGCTTGTTTTTGCCTCAGATGGAGCCCCAAGAAGCTACTGGGAAAGAAAACATGGGCACCAAGAAAAAGAACCTGACCTTCTTGAGGCACCGGCTCTATATGCTGGAGAGAAGGAAGACGGACACTGTGGTTGAGAGCAGTGTTTTGGGGGACCAGTCTGGTACCTTGAGGAGGAGCCAGTCTGACAGGACCGAATACAACCAGAAACTACAAGGTAACCCAAGAGAAACCCATTGTCCCAGGTGACTGCCCTCGCAGCTTTGTTTCTCCTACCCTGCCATTCGCAAAGAAAACACTTAAGCCAGAGGAGAAAATCAAAAATTACCTCCTGTCTAAGAGGAAAATAAGAAAATAGTAAAATGTGAATGAAACTAAATGCGATTCATAAATTATTGGAACAAGGTATTACATACTTTAATAGTTAAAAAACCACTTCTGAATTATTCTTGATACTGTGTGTGTGTGTGTTTTCCCTGATGAGAGTAATGTTTTTTCTGCTTCTCTCCCCTCCTCCACCCAACTTAAGAAGTGGAAAGCACTAGAAAGCAAATAATTTAGAAAGCTACAAAAGAGAGTTTATCTCAATAGATAGGTGTGAGATGTCACAGCATGAGCCCTATCTAGATAATTGCACTGCAGTGTAATTAAATAGGAGCATGAAACTATGATCATGTCTGTGAAAAATAAAGTCTTGTCGGCAGGATGGTAGAATAAGATTCGTTGGAAATCACTTAGGTGTTCATTTCTTTAGAGTGAATTGAATACCATCCAAGTATAGTAAGAGATGTTTAGCATGCTTACATTGAATGACTTTTGAGGAAATAACTTCACTTTATTTTGTGATGGTCATGAGATAATTTGACACAGTTATTATAACACCTCCTCTGTTTCAGACCTTGAATCTCTCTATCTCCTCCCATCTACCCTCTCTTTTTTCCTCCCTTTCTCTTGAAGGTCATTTGTTGCAGAACCCTTCAGTTTGATGTTGGTATTGTGCAATGCTTTAAGTATCCACTGCAGTACCTGTTAGCTGATCCCCAGAACCTGTCTCTTCCTCTTTGACCACATTGTGTGTTTGAGCTCTCCCAGTCCCACCACAAGCGTCCTTCTGGACTGAGAAACTGTGAGGCCAGAACGACCAATGGAACAAGTTGTACTTACTGTTTTCTTTCATCAAAAATAAGTTTGCACTTACTTATACAAATTAATTAAATAAGTTAAATGCATTTAAATTAAACCTTTAAAGATTCTTACTCTGAGTTAGTGCTTTTAAAAAATCCTGATAACTCAGAAGTGCAATGCAGAGTCAAGTGTCATTCTTTTTTTTTTTTTTTTTTAACCTTTACCTGTGGATATTTTTTTATTTATCATCAGATAGAGTGGGAGGGAGTGAAAGAGAAAAATCAATGTGAAGGAGACACATCAGTTGGTTGCCTCCTGCAGGACCAGGACCAGGGATGAACCGCAACCAAGGTATGTGCCCTTGACAGGAGTTGAATCTGTGACTCACTGGTCTGTGGGCCGACGCTCTAACTGCTGAGCCAAACTGACCAGGGCTCAAGTTTTATTCTTAAACAGTGTTTTTAAAAATGGGGAAGGGGTGTCACTTGATCTTTGAAATTAATTATTCTGAAGGCAATAGATACATTGGGGAAAATACAAAATTTAAAGGTATACACATTGGTTTCAAGTTTTGTCTCTTCAATTTACTACCTATAAGACTTTGAGCTAATTATTCAAGATTTCTGAGCTTCAATTTCCCTATCTGTAAAAATGAGATACTGATACTACCTATTATTATTGGGAGAATGAAATTAGATAATTCCTACTATATTGTCTGACACATGGTATGTACTCAATAAGCAATAGTTATTTTTTCATTTCAAGAACAATGATTATCATAAGGATAGAACAGGATTTACATTCTTTTAATCCAAATTTTCTCTTCTACTAATCTATGTCAATTATTTTCTGTCTTTGATGAAGAGACCACATATTGCAATTCCGGAAAAGCCCACTGCTATATCCCTATTAACATATTACTTTTGTCTGAGATTCACTAATTCAGCATCTTTTTGGTTCCAAATTTCCATCAGCAAAATAAAAATGAAAAATGCTTTTTGCTATTTATTTCCTAAACTTAACTGAAAAAATAATTGTGTGGCCCCACAAAGAACAGCTGATGTTTGTTAGCCACTCTGTAGGAGACCTCAGGCGTTTTGGACATGCCAATGGATTTGTGATTGTCCTGTGCTCTGTTGGATCCTGTGTTTGATGGGGAAAGAAAAGACTCAAGAGTGAAGCCATATTCCTAGAACTGCCTGTGCTGGAGGGAAATCATCAGGAATGTGCAGGAGCACATCAGACCTGTAGAGATAGACTGGCCTCCTGATAAGTAACATATTTTAGATGTAACTCTTAATAAAATCCAAGTGTGAGCTTTTAGTATGATTCTTCTCTAACTGCTTTGGCAACAGTAAAAGGCATTTTCTTATTAACATTCAAAACAATCAGTTCTGTGGGTTTGTACTCTGCTCCTATATCCATTATCATGCAGATGAGTCCTAATCGCCTAAGGAGCTCTTAATTATTGCAATGTAAGGAGTTTTTCCACACTTCCTTAGAGCTGTTAGCTTCCTGGGAGGCACAGAATAAAGACCTGAGCTGGTTAGAGCTCTCATAAAGATGGCCCTAAGCCATTGTGGGATCCAGTGCTTTCTAGTACTGGAAGGCAGCCTCAAATGATTTTGTCCTAGACTGGCTGGTGTGGCTCAGTGGATTGCTCATTGTCCCATGGACTGAGAGGTCCCGGTTCAATTCCGGGTCAGGGTACGTGCCTGGGTTTCAGGCTTGATCCCCAGTGAGGGGTATGCAGGAGGCAGCTGATCGATGTTTCTCACATTGATGTTTCTATCTTTCTCTCCTTTCCTCTCTCTCTACAAAATCAATAAAAACATATTTAAAAATTATTTTGTCAGGCATCAGTGCTAGGCTGCTATCTGAATATTACAATTAGCTGCTCTAACTCTCTCCGGAAGCAAGTTCTCTGGGTTCTGGGAAATATAAGATCTTTCTCTGGTGCCCCTGGGTGCTCCTTTTAACTCTTACTATATACCTGTCCAGTTCAATTTCTGAGAGACATCACTTTAGTAGTGTGAAACCTCAATTGTAATAAAAGAAAAATGGCACACTGGATGGAAGCTACTAGATTAAACAATAGAACATGGTTTTAATGAGAACATCATAAACTATAGAAGATTGTGATCATATCAACATTTCTACTGAGCCTCAAGTTGTGCAATGCCAGCCTACCACTAGTGGTTTCTTAGTTTCTTCAACAGATTTGTTCAGTTAACTTGTTGAAAATGTTATATGGTAAGCAAAGCCAATATATATGCCAGGAATTACAACTACAAAATCATTATGAGAAAAAAAGTCTGACCTTTACTCTACAGGGGCGTAGAGTCTCTTTGGGAAAGATAAGACAAGTAAACAAATGTGATAACGTGTCAAGATAGAAGTGGAGGTGAGATCGGTGGGTCCACAAAAGGAGGAAATGGTTTTATTCAGGATGTGGAAGAAGTTGTTAGAAAACATTAACAGATGACAAGGTCTAGATGAGGAAGAAGGGGCAGAATGGGGAGAGAAGCGTGTTTTAACCTCTTCATTGCACTTATCTTTGTCTGAAATTATGTTGTTTGTTTCCTTGTTTATTGCCTATTACTGACTTTCCCTTCTCCCATCTCTCATTTCCCCCCTCCCCACCCACTCCATAAAAGAGACCCTATCAGTCTTGTTAACTGTCCCATCTCTGCTCTTAGAATCACCCCCAGCACGTAGTGAACACTCAGTAACTTTCAAAGACATGAATGATTGGAGTGATCTGGTTTAGGCAGGAAATCAGTGTGAGGAAAAGCATCAAGCCCTGAATTAAGAACCCTTGCAACCCATATGGGAGCATAGAGGTCTCCGTTAATAAAGATGATGCTTGAGTAAAAAGGAATAAACATAGCAGAGTTTAAAATGTCAGAATTGACTAACAAATAATTCTTAGTGGAAGCCTATGTCCTCCCTGCTCTACCTTGTAGAGCATACCAGACCAGACCCCAGTCCATTCCTCTTCCAGTAAGAATGTGAGAATACCATCTTAGCTTCCAAGCTAGTTGAACTCCGTTAGCGTGGGAGCCACAGAAAGTAATCAAAGCAGGGGAAATCGAATGGCTGAGTTGTTAAACTGTTTTGGGGGGTGGGGGTGGGGGGCGATGACATGTATATGATTATATGTGTGAATGCTACATTTTAAATTTGCCTGATTTAAACAGTTATGCACAAGTGTGTCTGTGTGTAGGCAGCTTATCTAATCTAATCTATTGTTTGTAGCCATAGGTATAGTTGTGTGTGTACATATTTCTGTAATAAAAACTTTTTATAAAAAGTTTATTAACATTCAACAGTCTTTTCTAAAAACCCTAAATAATTGATATTATTGACATTATAGATGCTATGGGATGAATGTTTATGCCCTCCCCCTCTTCAATTCATATACTGAAGCCTAATCCTGAGTTTGATGGTATTAGGAGGTGGGGTCTTCGGGAAATAATTAGTGCCCTTTATAAGAAGAGACATGAGGATCTTGCTTCCTCCCCCTCTGCCACGTGAGGGGCCCTTATCAGACACTGGTCTGCCGGCACCTTGATCTTAAACTTCTCAATCTCCAGAATTGTGAGAAATAAGTGTTTGTTGTCTATAGCAACCCAAACTACGACAGTGGCCACACCGAGCCTCTGGTTAAGTTTTTGGCCAATGCATGTTTTTGCTTCCTGAGCGTCAGGTGAAAGAGTGAGAGTGAACGGGGGCAATGCCATTACTGCCGCTGACCATACATGTCAAAAACCACATCCCTGATTCATCATGGGCCTGTGGTGCTTCATCATTTTTTCCTAAAGCTATTGTATCATTCTAAGAAATGCTCGATTGTTGTTGTTTTTTTAATGAAAACCTGAAGTTTTCTCACTCTGGTGTTCATAAGGAACCACCTGACCACATGAACTTTATACAGAATAACATACTTTGCAGTATGAGGTTAAATGGCTCAAATAAAAGGTAGACTTGTAAGATTGTTGGACCACATAGTTTGTAATGGTTTTAAGAAAACATACCAATCAGTAAGTGAGCAGGAGGAGTTGCTAACACTGGATGATTTGGTGCGTTTTG